TGTAGGGGAGTTGGAAATAGATCATTGTTAAAGTCCTTTCCAAACCAAACTGTTCTATGATATGTCAAAACCAGAAAATATACCTGCTCATCACAGTAATCTTGTAGCTCTTGGCCAAAAAATATATGCCAAGAGTTCGCTTGAAATTAATTTAACTGGTTGCTCTAACTGGCAGAATGCTACTTAATCTTATTTTTTCTAGTCTGATATGAGGACTTTATAGAACAAAGCCTAATTTCTCATTAATTGTAGTCATAAACATATTAATATGTAAGAATTCCATGGAGAGTTATTTTGTGGGAGTTAGAGGAGTTAATATTTATTGGTACAATGTACTAGGAATGAAGCCAGATATCCTCTGGTGCAGACTGCGATCAGTAGTGGTGAACATAAGATCAGCAGCACATAGAGTGAAAGACTGGCAAAGACAGGCCTCTAATTCATAAGCCAAGAGGTTGGATTTGTGCATTAAAATTGTTATTGTACAACACTGTACAAAAGACAGAACTAGAGAGAACATTTGCCCTGGGTTTACCCCTATTTAACTAATTGCTCCCTAGCTAGCTGCTGCTGTTATGGTTATGAACCTTGGTGTAGATGCCTCCAGTTTTCACTATGATTATAATAAATATTTTGCCATCAGAGCTCAACTGAACCTTTTCAGTGGTTTACTAACAATAATTCTCACTGGTCTCTCTAAATTTGGCATATCTTTAACTTAATGTTATCTTGCAGGGACCAGAGCTTGTCCATCTTATTTCCATACGTCTTTTAGCAGAAACATTTGTTAAGATCTGTTGCTTTTACTTGGACAGTACTGAAGATCAGATAAACATATTCCATGAGTTTTAAATAAACTATACTTTTTGAAGGAAAAAGAGAATTTAACCCAAAGGGGCCTTTGGAAATACAGTAATGACCAAGATACAACTTAGGCTCTTGGTAGCTAAAAGATAATTGCAGTCAGATGGTCTACGGGCTTGGATAGCAGTCACTGGAGCTGCATATATGAGAAACCAAGTGATTATTGAAGAACATGAGTGAGGGATGATAATCAGGAAGGGTGCCTGTTGCTTGCTAAATTACAGGCTTGCTTTGCATCTGTGCAATCAGTTTGCTCAGTAAAAAATACCTTAAAATTAATAGGAAAGTATAAATCATTGGGATTATTGAATTAGAAAACATAAAACCAACAAGATAATGAGTCAATCTTATATATGCAGTGGGCCTCTTTGACCTTTAATGTCGTCAGTGTGGCTGCAGTATTATTCAAATGGTAACTCATTCTGTTAGCATACTTAGGATGTTCTTTGGATCCAGGGATTGTGCCACACAGCACCACTTATGCTAGAGAGATGGGCTTGCTCGTTATTTAATGGGGCCACTAATCAGCAAAGACTGTTGATCAGTCACTTGTACATCCACAAGTCTTGATGATTTGAACAATTCTGCTCTTCTAGAGTCTGATGCCTTTCCAGATGGTGACCTTCAGTAGGATTCATCAGTATCAGTAGCTTTTACAGCAAGGGCAATTTAGAGAAATAGTAGCTTGGTAGTTGCATATAGCATTATTCAGACAAGGAGGGTGCACAGCCTTTGTGACTCCTGTTGTCCTAAGGGGAGCTTGGAGGACTTGGAGAAAACTTACTAACACCTATTACTGCTCTAACTGTAGAACTTGTGGCTGCTTTCAAGTATGAAGCACTGAAGTTATACCGCAGTGCGGCTGTATTGTCTGTCTCATCAAATGTCCATGAATTCTTTCATTTCTTCTTCTGTAATTTTGTATTAGCTACTGTTTATTTTTCTGAAGTTCCTTGATGCCACAGATACCCATGCCACGCTGCAGCTGCACTGTCTTACATTTTCTTTGTTACTCTGAACTCCCCCATGTGATCCATGGCACAAATAACTTTAAGTCCGTTTCTTCAGTGTCTAGCAAGACATTGTAAAACATTAAACTATTGTAGTCTGTCCTGAAGGCCTTACTGTGTTGTAATTGCTTTCCCTGTGCTACAATGTACTGCATATGTGCTACAATTTTAATTTGGTTTCCAAATTTTAGCATCCCCTTTATGGGGGCAAATAGGTGACTTCAAGTTGCACTTTTGGGGCCATCAGAGCATCCTCATAGAATAGTATGAAGCAAACCACCTTTGTTTTGTTTCAGTTGTTACGAATATTTGTTGCTTAATTGAAGCGCTAGCTCTATGAAGCAAATATTTACTGGGAGAAAACAGATGTAATGTGAAAGTAGCAAGATGCTAATTCCCATGATGGTAGGGAAAAAACTTGATAATGTCATAATAATGTGCACCAACAGGTGAAAAGGAGGATAAAATCCCAGGCCTTTCTGAAAAGCTAGCTGTGTAATTTTCAGCTACCAGCTGGTGTACTGTAGATGGTAAGGTTGATGTATGGCATTAAAATGTATTGTAATTTGCTTCTTTTGGGGTAAAAAAAACAATAATTGGTAAATCTTCTGTTCTACTTTGAACAGATAATTTTAAAGTTTATGGGTAAATATTGCAAAAGTTTCTTATTCTGTGGGGTTGGGGCTTATTTTTGTATTAATACTTGAAACTGTTGTCAGTTTACTCTTTGCATGGAACTGGCAGACTTTCAGTGAACATCTCTGCGATGTAAGCTTGATTTGCTGTCATTAAAAGTCTGGGTACATTTTCTTTCTGAACATCTAGGTTTTCTCTCTGTAGTGGAGGGATTTGAAGTTTATAGCAGGGATATGCTCTTTTACTACGCCTGTAAAAATCCACCCACATTTGGCGAAGTTATAAACATTTGACAAATTGCATTTCACACATTCTTGGTCAAGTCTTATTAGGTTTTTTAGTAGCTACATTTCCAAAAGATTACACATGTATTGGATGTTTGTCTTCCACAAGACAGGACTTGCCTTGAAATTGCTCAGAGTTGGAGAGGTCAGACCAGTACAACTAGAGGAACTGAGATCAATGAATTTGCCTCTCATGTTTTCTAGTGAGCATGTTGTTAAGATGAGTTAGCACATCAATGCAAGTTAAAGATTGAGGATAAAACTTTGTAAGAGAGAGGAATTGGGCAGGTGGGTGAGAGTGCTAAGTTGTGTTTGTCTGCATGACTGACCAAGAGCAGGAGCAGAACTGAGGTAAGATGAGGATCATAAAAGGAAGGATGTTCTGGCTGAGGAGCTGGATTGTGTGAAGACGGTATACTCCAGGTGGAGAGAGAAAAATGAGAGGATAGAGAGACTGGGTGAGATGTCCTTGATATGGTAAAGGAGAGAGACGGGCCTGGAAATGGTTCTGGATGCAATCTCCTATGTGACTTCAGCCTGAGCTTTACTAGGAGATAAAGTACTTCAGGTATGCTAGAGGTGTGCTTGAGCACAGACCATATAACACCTTGAGAAGGTTGTTTTGATACAGAATGAATGCTTTCAGTGCATTAAATTGCAAACATAGCTGCACCCAGTGTTGCCAGCAATACTTGCACATCTGATGCATAGCTGCTTAATCATTCCATTATGTTGGCTATCCCCTAAAGCCAATATTTATGTGATAACTTTCTTGCCCATGTGTTTTGCTTAGACCAGCTTCCCTTTTGTTTTGCATTGTGGAAAAGCCTAGTGTTGATCAGGCAAAGATCTATTGAGACACTTTCCTAAAATTTTTCTCTAACTTCCAACTAAGCTTAATAGCTGCAGTTCAAGAGGAGCCAGAATGTTGTCCTTGGTGTCAGTGGAGAAACTTGGAGCTTTTTGCAGCAGAACTTACAAATTTCTAAAGTTTAGAAAAGAAGAGGAAGATGTGCATCTACTGATTTAGCTGCCTTGAGAGGTCCCACATTGCATCTGATATAAGTGGTTGCTACGCGTCTGCCTTCATACTTTGACTGAAGTCCAAGGTATGGGAACCTCCAGTATCTCCACTTTTATTTGGAACCTTGCTGCAGTTGCTCAGTGATTTCTCGGCATGTTGGTATCCTCTATAAGACAAGAATTACTTTCACGTAAACATAGCATTCATTCTCTTTTCACCCCGCAAGGACAGATTGTCATTTCCTTTTTGGTTTTTATCTTTTTCTTTTTTTCTGTCTCTGTAAATACATACATTGTTCTTGTGATTTCCCCCATCCCCCAGTGCTTTATCATTGCTACCCTACATCTTCATATTCATGCTTTACATCTCTTCCTGTATGTAAGCATCTTAATTTTCTGTAATGTAGAAGCACCTTTGTAGACTGACAAGTTTATGACATTTTCTGTATAAGCAAGGAAGGAGATAATTTGGCCTTTTATTTTTCCTTTTCTTGGAAATAGTCTTTGCATAAAGAAAAACAATTTTCTGGCAAAAGTGAAAATAGATGGTGTGTCAGCAGAACCTGAACCTGCTGAAATAACTTCCGTGCCCTGACCCATTGGGTTGAAGCTGATTGACACAGCTCAGCATGATTGTTTGATGTGAAAACACAGGGAAGAAAGTGAACATTTAACAAATAGCTCCTTTGTGACTTGCTTAGGAAAGAAAAGCATTTTGTGGCTTTAGGAAGTATGCTTTTCTCTTCACTCATCAACATCACCGTGATTTGGGCCCATGCACAGTTGAATATGTCACCAGTCATAGGTAGCTTGACTAACTCAAGGCAGATGTTATCTCCCTTTCCCTGCTGTTCTGTGCAGATTCATCTGTGCAGAGCACCTTGTGCAGGAGTTCAAGGTCTGAAGCACGAAAGTCTGTTTTTTTTACTCATTATTGTCCTTCTGAATGTCAATTGAACAATACCATTCCAGAAGGCAGAACAGGCGAAGTATAGCAAGGCCTGATTTCTGCATTGAATGATGACTTCTTGGCTCTGACAGAAATTTTCTAAAGAAAAAGGATGACATTGCAGCACTTTAACATATTTTTCATATTGAATTGTGGAGTTCTTTGGTTTTTTTTTTTTTTTTTACTTTTATAATAACATTCTTCTGTTTGCTTCAAAGCAAGGGGGAAAGAAAGAGCCATAAATTACTGAACTTGCATACAGGTTTTGATTTACTTTATCTTGGCCAAGACAAGTAAGTAAAGTCAAAACTGTACAGCTTTCTATAGTTGCTTACTTTTTTCCTGATTATAACGTGTTCGTTATTTTCTTTAAAAAAGGGGTTTCTTATAACCATACAGCTGAATTCTAATAGATATGAATAGTATAGAATCAGTTTGTGCTCAACAGAAAGGAGACCTGTGGTAGAACTGCTAGGCTTCTCCCAGGGCATATGATGAAATTTCGATCTCATGTTTAAAAGGAGTAACTTAGGCCCAATCCAAGTTGCATTGAACTGAGTGAAAAGAGTCGTTGTACTTAGAATGGAAGAAGACTTTTGGCCTTTATTAGTTAATTTGATATAGTACTGTCTCAAGAGGTTGTATTCTACTTCATTTTATGTTTGAATATGACTGCCTTGCTGCAAATGAGCCAATTATTGTAATTTCAGCAGCAGCATTTCTTGAGCGGGTTACAGTTATGAGTAATGGCATGGAGGGAGAAAAGTTTATTGCCTTCTGATTTTTTTGTGGAGGAAGAGCTGGAAACACAGAAGTTCAAAAGAGGAGATGCATTACTTAGTTTCCATGCACACTGCTGTGTTCCAGAAAAAGAGGAGGAGTAACAGTGAAATATGTGAGGGTATGGAAAATGTCATGAAATACTGTTTCGCTTGCAGTTGGAGCTGAGGTGCTACACAGGATCCCAAGAAGGTAGCTATGAAACCTAACCCTCCCAACCGTTTGTAGGCAACATACTTGCTGTGACACTAGCTGTTCTGCAAAGCAAACCAAGTCCAGAGTCCATACAGGGACGCCAGCATAAATCAGCTCTGCCCCAGCCCAGCATTGACACCACTTCCTATTGATACCACTGTGGACTATGCTGCCTACAAAGTGTTGGGAGAGTTAGCTTTTTAGTTTGCCCTTCCGTCCTTCCTGGGATAGAAAGATGACCTTGTTACACTCTGCCAGCCCAGCTTTCCTCCTGACATGTAACAGTAAATTGGGATTAGGTCCCAACTTCAGGTGTGTATTCCCATGTTCCCCACAGTATAGATATATGTAGGGTCTAGCCCTCACCTGAGTGGCTTTCATCTTTCAAATCTAGAGCTGGCTTGTTTAGAATGAGATGATGTGTATCTGGCTGATGCTGTATTTCTAGTTCCACATAGAGCCTTTGAGAAGCTAACTTGGTTTTTAGCTACTTATGATTGGTATATTTCTGAATTACCTGCCTTGTCTTTTAAAGGCTGTATTTTGTATTTCTGTACAGGAATCTATTAGCAAATGCATTAAGAAGTTAAGTAAATCATACCTAGGTAGTATTCTGACAACTTCATTGCTGTATAAATAGCAGTGGAAATACAGCACTGGTTACAAAATCAAAAGGTATTGGTTTTTATTTTTTTTTAAACCTAAATTAAAATCTACTTAAACATTGCTTTTTCTGTCACTTCACTCATATTTTGGAGTAGAGACGCATAGTAGTGTGAAGTGCTAAGGTAATGCAAATTAAAGTTTGCATTTCTTTTCCAGTTTCAATGCTGACATGAGGTGGCCCTGAAGTGAGCTAGAACAGAATTTCTTATCTGTGTCATCTTCTTAACATTTAAGAAAACAAATAATTTCACAAATGCATTAATTTTAAGTATGGTCCCATAGATGTACTTAAGAATTGACTTTCAGGTGAAAATATAATAAAGCAGCATTGTTTAGGGAGTGTACTATTAACTAGTTAGGAAGCAAAGTACTTCGAAAACCTTAGGTTTGCTGCTGAAGTTTAAATCTCTTCCAAAATGTTTAAAGAATAATATTGGAATATTAATTGTAAAAAGCTTCAGAATAAGAACTAATATGTTCAAATTGAATTCAGTTTCTTGGGATAAGAAGAACTTGTATGTTGGAGGAAGCAGTTGTGGACTGCAGGTGTCCTAGGAAACTGGCCAAGTGTTGGCCATCCTGTGTACCCGGAAAGGAGTGCTGTAAGCACTTCATGTCTTAAGTGCCTGCTCACATGTGCATTTGGGAAACATTTGTGTGCTCTTTTACATTGTCAAATCTAAATGTATAAACCCAAGATAAAACCTCAAATGTAAAGGTTTTAAATGTTCTAAATTGAGGTACCTTAATGTAGACCAGCAAATCAGTGATTTTGAAAAAAAATAGTAAAAATTTACAGAAACGTACTTACTGTGTCATCCAATGCTCATGTACTTTGGTAGGGCAAAATAAACGCTTTTTCTAATGGGAACCTGTGAAAACACCATACAGCCAAGTTTCTTGAAGAATGCAGTTCTTGTGTACTGGCTTTCCTCCAAAGGAGCTGACCTACCTTTACGCATAGAAAATTTCTGGAAGGATGATAGCTTATAAATGAGGAGATGAAGGTGGGCTGTTACACAGTGTTGCAATTGCTTTCCTCTTGCAGTGCTTGTGACTTAGCTGTTTTCCTTTAGTGGGGACATTCCCAGCTCTCTTGCTATTCTTCTGTCTTTTATCAAGGTCTGACACTGTTGGAGCTTAAACAGCTCTGTCCAGATCCAAGTTGGTTCCACATAAGGATCATCTTTGATGCCCCACAAAGAATTTGGAGGTTGGCATGGAAGAATAAGAGATGCAGACTGCAAAATTGCTAGTTTAGCATCAGTGCAAGCCAGCAGAGGATCTGCCAGGGCACTGGTCACAAGAGGAGACAGCTGCTGCCTTTTTTTGTATTGAGAGTTTACTGGCACATCCATTGGCAGACTGAGAGCATTTCTTTGTCCCTGTCACCAAATGTTTTGTGTCCCTAATTTTCTTAGCAGTTTGCATGGGTTTAAATACGAACACATATGTATTTACAAATTAGTTACTTGAGTATTGTTTCACTCCAGATTTTACTTCAGAGATGTGTAATTTCTGATTTTATTTGCTCAGTCTAATGGCATTCATTAGCTAAACCACCCTCAATGCTTACATAGAACATGAGCTTCTTTACAGAGCAATGCCAGTAAACCTGCTTAGCGTCAGCTATTCTAATGCTCCGTTTCTGATCAGTTTATTATTTCAAGCCAAAATGTACATTACTCCAGCTTCCAGATAATCATAGACCCGAGTCTAGACCTAATTTCTGCCTTTGTTTCTTTTGCAAGGGTTTATATCTAATGTTTCTAGAATGGAGAACTGATGTTCACATGCAGTAATTTCCTGCAGTATGTAGCATAAAAGGGGCTAAAATAGTTTAGCGTTGATTGAATACAAACTATGAAAACTCTCTGTAGGAAACAGCATTAAATCAGTACAATTATGTGTCACCCTAATCACAGCAAACAACAGTAGTAGTAGTATTTCTACTCACTGCTGTGGGTGTGATGTAATTAAAAATAATAACAAAGGTAATTTTGCTGAAATGAGCAAGTGATTGGGGTGTTGGGCAGAGCAGAATGCTGCTGAATGAGAGACTTTTCTTGGGTCTTTTTTTCCTGCAAGTATCTGGAGACTTGTTTTCTTCCAGGCCCTGGAGCTGTAGCAAGGACACTGGGATTTTTGTGTTGCTTACTATAGTAAGCAAACCGATATTCATTATAGTACCTCTGGCACTTCTGTGACTAAACAAGGCACACAGGAGACAAAGGGAAGTTTATCAGCCTTTTCTTTCATCATGTTATTAGCTTAATCTGTCCAGGTTGGCACTTTTTGTGGTTATGTGTGCCAGATATCCTGGATTATTCATTTGGCCACATAGCTACACTGCATGGCTTTGTAGCACTTTGGTCAGTGGCCTTTAATGTACCTCCTTTGATTGTCTTACCTGACCCTGTTTTATGTCTTGCCCAGTGTTTTCTAATTTCTTTCAATTAAAAATAACCCTTGCTCGCTGCTGAAATATTTCACTTGCTTCTTTGTTCCATGTAGCAAGTCACTCTTTTCAGTATTTTCTTCCTTTGGGACTGGATTTCAAAGCAACACATAAGTTCTTCTCTGTTTTGTGTTGTTTCATTTACAGTAGCCTGAATTCATAAACAGAATAAACTAGCCAGCACATTTAAAGTTGAGAATATGTACTTAGTAAAGGTATAAATCTCCTGGGAGATGGCATCCAAAAGCTTGTGTAAACTGAGCAATTAGAATTCTGGCTTGGAAAGAAGTTTACTGAAACTCACTTTCCATTAGAAGTATGATCAGAGAGTGCACTGTTCTTAAGGAGGAATGTGATTTTTAAATATTTTCATACTTATTATTCTTAACCAAAATCATTTGCATCCCTATTTGCTAAAAAATGCTTACTCTTTTAGAGCTCATGTTAAATTTGGATGATGGTTTTCATTTATTAATTAAAATACCCCTGCTGTAAGTGAAAAATGTAAGTTGATGAGCAAGCGCTCTCTAGTACAGATTAAAGGTCTAGTATATGCTGTAGAATCCAGCACAGCTCTTGTCTATAAAGGCACCTCTATTAAATATTGTAGACGTTCCTGTAACCCCTTCCCAGTACTACATCAGGACTAAAATGTGGGGTTTAATTTGGTGGTTGTTTGTGGGTGTTTTTTTTTCTTTTTTTCCAAATTAAGTACTTTCTTGGCTTTGGGCTCCTATATAATAAGACATTGCTAGCATCTTCATAAATCCTCTTGAATCATAAGAATACAGCACATCCTTCAGGCTTTTCAGAATTGGGACCAGTAATTTACAAATATATTGGTAGTATAGAAAGTACAGAAATGGCAGTTCTGTCGTTCATAATACCCACAGTCATCTATTCAGCTGCTGATATTTGGGAGAAGTAGACACTGAATAGGCTAAGAGGAAACTACTGTGGAAAACCGGAGGGTTTTGGATCTATTTAAGTTGTGTTAATTGTATTTTCTGCTTGTCCTTCCATCAGAGGAGGATTTGTGCTTAGTGATGTGCTCAAACACCTTCCTGAAATGGAATATTTTTTCTTCTCTACATATTTCTTTTTTGTTGGTGTTGAAACAGTGTGATAGACACAGTATTTATGGATATGCAGCATAGATTTATGAAGAATCTAGTAATACTATCTTTGGCAAATTCAGATGTTTTAGTTTTAGGCTTAATTTTGACCTTTCTCAGGTCAAAATAAATACAGACACATAGCTAATAAATACACATAGATTTATGCTATATACACTCTTGGGTAGATGTTTTTTTATGTTGCCTTTCAAATAGATTAAATCAAGTAAAGGACTGTAGTGATGCTCACTCTTAAGACTGAGCATCTCTAAAGTCTTAATGAGTCTAAGCATGAAGACTCTTTCTTAATTATTGAACTATGACTCTTAAACAGATACATAGTCATCTTTCCATCATTTGCCCTCATGGGAGTAGCTTGAGTCTGATTTGACTTAAGCATATCTTGCTCTTATTTATTTTAATACGTTTCATTTCATGTTTCTAAATGCTTTCCTTTTTACCCAACTCTGTGGGTCAGTTCCAAAATTCACATGCTTCCTCTTCCCACCTCTACCAGAATGAGTAATCATATTTTATTCCTTATCCTCCCAAGTGGGCTACTTCTGCCAGACTTGTGTTTGTTTTGTTTGCCTGCCAAACCCCAGCAAATGTCTTGTTTTAAGAATGATGGGTCTGTTTCCGCATGAATTCAGATGGTTCTGCAGAGTTTCTTGAGGGCTGTTTATTTTATTTTTTCTTTTGTTTGGGGTATTTATTTTGGTTTTAATTTTACTTGCAGATCTCTTAGTCTGTAAGACATAGCAGCTAAAATGAGCTTCAGCTAAAGAGTGAAATTTGCTCCATTCTTCCAGAACGGTAAATGTTAACATTCACTTTAAAGAAGCCAGGAATTCAGAGCACTAGATGGTGAGGTCTTCCACTCATTTACGAAAGAACTATGAGCTGTCCAGGAATTTGTGGTTTAAACACAGTATTTACAGCTAGTACACTTTAACAGCTCTTCTCTGCACTTACATGACCTGTTAAGGGTGAAACTTACATTCATTCATGTTCTTCAATAATCGGTGTAATTCTGAAGCCTGCCATGAAAGTTTGATCTCAGTAGTTCACTGCTGACATTTTTATGAAGCTCCTCTAGGATGTGGATTTTTGTTTTACTACTGTGGGCAATGCCTGTGTGAATCTGTCTGGGAAAATGAGCCAAACTACATGAGAGGCTGAGATGATTTATTTTATTTCCTCTCTCCCTCCTGAACTATTTTATCATTTTCATTCCACAACCTGATAATGATACAATCATAGAAACATTTAGGTTGGAAAAGGCTTTTAAAATCATCAAGTCCAGCTACAAGCCTAATACTGCTAAGTCCACCAGTGGAAGTGGGGGGATGACCAAACATCCTTTGCCAGATGCTTTCCACAGGGCAACTGGAGGTGACTTTAGTGAAGATAAGGGTTACAGGTTTTACTGTGCTTGCTTTCTAGTAATGGAGACATTCCCTCATGGACCTACCCAAGCTCCCAATGTGGTGTTCCCACCTGTGATGGCACTATGTGGTTTTAACTTCGCTGTGTCCTTTACATGTGCTAGAACTGATCTCGATGAAGAGAGCATTGCTAATTTGCTAGCAGAATAGATGGATGTTCATATCCTCAAAAATCCCTGGGAGATCCATGTGTGCCAGTTAAAGTTCTGGGAGATGGTGAAGGTTGAGTGGCAGCCCCTCTCTTCAGACACCACTGCCAACCCCGCTGCCACTTGTACTGTTCTAGGGAATGGCTCTGGGTAGGTTCTGAAAAATGACATCATCCTTAGAATGTGCATTGTTATCAGTAGTGGTTTTCCTCATTAACCTCTTGATCAGTGGCTGGTGATTTCAGACAGGTAGGTGAGAAGGAGCTCATTTCATGGAATATGTTATAATCTCTGGCTCCTGCTCTTCAGGTAGAGGTATCTAGGAAGGACTACGAACGTGCAGTGTTGATCCCAATTAATAACTAATATACTAAGTTTTCCCATAATTAAGACATTCAAAGTGAGCCACTTCTCCTCCTGCTGCTTTTCATCTTAGATTGTACCTAGTTTCTCAATAGTAAATTCAAGGAGAAAACCATTGCAGTTAATCCCAGGCAATAAATACACATTGAAAATAGAAAAATCAGTAATATCTACCACTTTTCCTATTCCTGACCTATGAAGTCTTCCATCACAATCTAGTTTTCCAAAATGGCAAAGGAGGGG